TCATCCGATTCACTTGAAATTTACACAGAATCTTCTACTTTGTATAATCTAAAGAAGTACATACAGATTTTGCGATATGTTAAACACTTTTTTTTTTTAAACATTTTCTGACGAAAATTTTGAACCGAAAATGACACCTTTTTTTCAAATGTTCGCCATTTTTATAAAAATCAATATTTCGAAATATCCATATGTACTTCTTTTGGTGCATATTATATAGTTTTAGAAAATTTTTGGTTTTTTGCTTCAGGTCCAACCGAATGGCAGATCCCCGCAACGCCGATTTGACACTAGCTGCGAAACGACAATTAATAAAATGGCTTCAGCGTCGCCATTTTGTTAAAAAAATAAATAAATAAAATATTTTTTACTTCTAAAGACCTGTATTACTAAAGCCTTAAAACGATTTTTTAATTACTTTTATTGTTTTCCTTAAAAAAATTCTCAAAGTTACCTATGATTTTCAGGCGGTCAGGGTGGTGTAACCCCTTGGGGTTAAATAAATTCTATTACGGAATTTTTATACTTTCTAGGTAATTTATATAAAAAATTAAACAATCGTAGTAAATAAAAGTATTTTTAATACTCCGGAATCCTTAATAATTTGGAATTTCTTGGTTGAATACAAATAATAATTTGTAAATTAGAATTATTAATTTTTTGACAGAACGAGACTAAAAAAATATATCATACTCTAGAGAAAACTTGCACTTCTCTGTATCATTAGAGACGCAAAAGATTGTGAGTTTCGTAGAGAAGTGCTGTATATAAGTGATCTTCACGATCGGGTGCTTTATTTTTCACGACACGGGTGGCTCAACGGCTTCTAGTTGTCATTACATCAAGGCATGTTTAATTAGCTGCCCTAAGAGCGGAAAGTGCGCAAACCGCCTCTCTAACGAGACTTCTTATTTTCATAACTGTGTGTTAGTCTCCCAATTTTACAAAAAATTAACTTTCTATAGTTCGTACTTATTATTTGCACATTTCGAATTTTTGTTTTATACACTTCTAATAAAAGAATTATTCAAAACATAATTTTAGATGTCTAATTTCATACTAACTTTCCCAAGTAGGACCAAATTAAATTAAAACTGTTTCAATCAATAAATTTTTGTTTGCACATTTTGAAACAGACCGATTTTTCACTTGGATACCTTTAGTTAAAAAGTTATTAACAATTAAAGTTTCGAGAATAGTTGACTTCGGTATGAATATATATAGGTTCAAATCGTAGTTACTACACAAAATGAAATTAACTGATAGCTTTTGTTTGTACATCCAAATCAAGTCGATTTTTTGTTTGCACACTTTTAGTTAGAAATTATTATTAATTAAAATTTCGAGAAGTCGACCGTTCTCAAAATTTTAATAACTTTTTAATTAAAAATATTTTTGAATGAAAAAATCGACCTGTTTCAAAATATAAAAATTTATCGACAGTACTGTTATATTTTCAATGAGCTATAGAAATAGAAAGTTAATTTTTTATAAAGTTGAAGACTAACTTCACACAGGTATAATGCATTCGCCATCTTACACGAAGGGGGGAGAAGCAAAATTAAAAACAAATCCTAAACAATTTGCGTTACACAATTTATATTTTATACCAAATACAATCAATTTAACGAAACATACTAATACAAATAAACGAACATTTTCAAATATAAAATATATTTCTAAGTAATCTCTTACATTTTGTCAAAATATCGATATTGATCACAAGCATATATGATCAACAATGTGGCCAATGAAGACGACCTAAAAATTTTAACATGTAAACTCTATTAATTCTTGTCAAGAAGAACAGATTCGATATTTTTGCAAATCTATATTAACTTTTTTACTTTAGTATTGAACTTTTTTTATATTGTCGTTACATATATGCCGTTTAATTTTTTATTTAAAAAATTTTGATCATTTAAATTATTTTGAGATCGTTCTTAGATTAACAAATCTTTTTTCATCTGTAGATAATCGGATAAATATACTTTTATTAAATCTGTCTGGGCTTTATACATAATTTATTCATATATTCCTAAATTAAAATCAAGATAAACGAACGGAAAGAGAAACATACAAGTAACGAAATATATCGGTTAATTTACTTTTTCATCTACCTATTAAAATACTGAATTATGAATTTGGTTCCATTTTAATCCAATTGCATTTTGCTGGTATCCGAATTAATCAATATGAAAAAAGTGTATATGCTTGTGATAAATACTGAAATATAAGTTTTAAATTTATTGAAGCACTTACTATTGTTAAAGAGAATAGTTACAGTAAAAACTCTGATACTACAACAGTATAAACTATAACATATACTCAGGATAATCTAAAGAATAAATAGCGAAATTTTAGTAATATAATAAAAATAAAAGTTTTAAGTCATCGTAAATAATCTTTTAATTTTAATTTTAATTTTTAGATTAATCTGAGAAAATTATAGATAAACACATTATTAAATATAATCCCTATAATACTTTTAGTTGTACATATAAATTTAAATCACAAGTCATTTTTTAAATTTATATTGTAAAATACTTATTGTAGATATAAATTCTTATACATTTTTCATAACGGTTCAATCATTTTATTTGAATATTCTTTTAGTAGAATTTCGAAACTCTTCAGTATCCATAAATTCTATTGTATTAAACTTAATAAAAACTGTTAAATGTGCTTCTAAAAATTTTGCATTAGTTAAAAACGCAAACTGCATAAGTTCTATGGCATTATGAATTGTAATATGATGTACGAAATAATGTTAACATGTTAATTTTAAAGCTACTACATCAATTCTATGAGCTATTGTTAATAATTTTTTTAGCATTTCATAATCATCTAATTCTACACTAAATTAGTTTTAATATACATTGACACCATTTTGAAAGCTTGTAATTCATAATTTTTTAATTCATTCGTCATATCTTTTTCTTTTTTGTCACGTGTAAGGCAAATTTTTTCAAAGTAGCTACTATTGGTATAATTTTTTTGATATAACAAACTTTTCTTTTTCCGATTATAAATGTGACTGATTTCTCATTGCTCAATTGAATCTTGAAAATATCACATCTTTTGAAAATACTGCTAAGAGTGGTAGTAATTTCATCTGTATAGTATCACTTACAAGATTATGAAAAATTTTAAACTTTGGCAACGTACTAAAAGCGATGTATTGATATCAGCCTTAAATTTGAATCTAAGGAGTTCAATTAACAATGTTTTATTCGATATACGACCCGTAATTGACTTTGATAAATAAAACTATACGAGTCGGATAATTTATAATAGTGACACATGAACCATGAAATGCCTTTTATTAGTAAGAATATTTGGCCTCTTTTGTCAGTGACCACAATGTCTCCATTCTCCATTCTTCTTGGAGATTTTAACGCTCATCACCCGATGTAGGGCGGCAAGCGTACGAATGCTACCGGCCGTATTCTTGGCAAATGCATTGACGATCATCATCTTGTGATCTTAACCCTCCTGTCTCTCCTACCTTTGTTTCCTTCTCTCCTCATTGCTCTTCTTCCACCATCGATCTTACTATCGTATCCCCTCATATGTCTCCTCTTTGTGTGAAGCTCAAGTCCTTTCTGATCTCTCTATGGTAGCAATCATCATCCTCTTGAAGTTCGTGTGAATTGTTTGATTAGAACGTCTAAATTAAACATTTTTTTCACTTTTATATAGAAAAGTGGTACATTGATTGTCTACTATGCCAATTTCCGCCACGCAATAAATGTTGCTGCGTCCTATGTGCAGGAACCATAAGAACATTCTGTGTTTATCTAAATGTTATTTGACTATGTTGTTGATGTATATGTATACAAACAACCTATAAGAGAAATTAGCAAAGTTGCTTCGCTCTTATTGGTTGGTTTTATAGATCTATTAACTCTTAATTTGAATAATAGAATCTAATTGGCGAATATTGTAACTATCCCATGTTGGTTGTACGATTCGATCATGCACAAGAGAAACAAGGATAGAGGAAATGATTGCATTCAACAGAACACAATAGTTTTGCAACAGTTTTATAATTGTCTGCGCAGACAAGACATTCCTCTAAATCTATAAAAATAATCCAATCAGCACAAAGAAAATGTACAACAATTGTAAAATAAAAGTTTTGTTGAATGCAAGCACTTGATCTAAAGATGCTAAACTAAATAATATAATTTATTAACAATAGGTAATATAATAAAGTTTATTAAATTTTCATTCAATTTATTACATAAATATTAACATTAGTTGTAAAAATACACAAGCAACAAAAAAAGAACTTGTTTATCAAAAATATTTTAACCAAATATAAATCATTTTGCTGTCTGTCTCTCTTCAACGATCAAGTATATATTTATTTCGTTTTAAGTATAAACATTTTAAGGGATTTTGTAATGTAAACATACTTTGATATCTATAAATACTTCCAATTAGTAACATATTAAAATTTAATATTTAACATTAATATAAAACGTAAAAATATTTTATAGAAATATTAGAATAAACCAGAATATATTTGATAAAATAAAAATAATTTTTAATAACACAGCGCAAATATTTTAAAATACACAAATATATTATATAATTGCTTCTTTTTTAACAATAGGCACAGAGTACTGCATCAATGAAACTATAATTTCGAATCACAGAGTCGACTCGATTTTATGACCAAATACAGATAGATGATGTTTATTCAATTAAGCAATCAATGTATTTCCTGATGTCGTAATGTAAAATGCAGTTTTATTACATTTTATTAAATATAAAAAATGAGATTTAAATTATGCTCAATTTTTATTTTCTAATTCGCACAATTTTTAATATTATTTTTATTTAAAAAATAGGTTTAAATATAATATGTGCAATAAAAACACGTTTATTTTGTTATTTATAAGCACATACACATAGCAAAATTTTTAAAAATGTGATTTTTTTAGAGAGATGTAAAGTTTATATTGAATCTTAAAATTTTACATTAGATCTAATCATCGTTCGCCGTATTTTACACTTTTAATGGCTATATGTGTGTATTTTTGCTGCCACCACTGAATCGAACAATCAGAAATATTGTCACAAAAGCTGAGATCGATCATTTCCAATTTAGGACAATTCACGAAAATTGCGTGACATATCTCAGGTGTTAAGGATAACGTACCTAATAAATCTAACTGTTTTAAATTTTTACATGATGTCAATGCTCTTAGATCACGTTCAGTAAGACCTCTAACAGAGATCAGAAAGACTTTTTCCAGGTGTTGACATGAGGAAAACAATTTAAGGAAACTATCACCATGACCAGTCGTACTGCCACTGTAAATCAAAGCTATATTATGTTATGGCTCTTCAATCGTAAAAATACAGCTGTTTCAAGACACAAGCGAAAAAAACATACAAATTTTAATAATATAATAAATTTGTATCTTAAAAAACTGTATGTAAAGGCCTCTGTACACGGTCAGTAATACTGTCAGTATCAACGAATACTGACAATATTATTGATTGTGTGTGGTTAATATTAATGGATTAACGCAGAATACTGACGATGATTTGGATTAAATACATGCTTTTTCCTTAAGATCCATGTCGCCATAGATAATAATATACGTCAAATCACGTCAAACTGAAGTGAAATATTATCAATAATACCTGATCGTATAAGATTATAAAAACTAATGTATACTGTCAGTAATACTGATCAGTAATACTGACTCAGTATTATTGACCATGTAGGGAGGCCTTAAAACGTAGATCAATATAAGAACGATAGACTTATTAGTAAGTCTCAGGTTTGATTCATCATAAATGAATGAGGAATACATATTCTGCCAAAAGCGCGACAGAACATGTATTTTCAAAGAAAATGTGACACAACACGTACCACCAACCAAAATCCACTTCTCGTAGATTTCTGCAGTCAGCAAGAGCTTCAATACCTTGTGACGTAAGAGTGTGCGTCTTCCATAAATCTATACTTTCCAAATCAGGACAGAAGTCTCTCAATTCCATTGCAACTTCATCTACATTCAGACTTCTGTCTGTGCCTCCTATTTGTAAGTGACGCATCCGTACGTTTCTTCGCAGTATTTTACAAAGAGTTTGAGTTGTTATATGTGTTCTGTAAAGATCCAAATGCTCCAGGAATTCTAGATTTTCAAGGTATGAGAATCCGCTGTCCCTTATTAAATCACAATTACGTAGACCTAATTCTAAGAAAAATATATATTGATTATACAATTATACAATTTTCTTATGATTACAATAATCATTTGTATATATACCTTTCAAATTTTTGCATATTTTCGAAATTTGATATATGGCTTTGTTGTCGATTTGTGAACAGCAATTTAATCGTAAGTGCGTTAAGAGATTACCACAAGTGTCAAGAAATTTGTCAAGATCAAAGACAAAAAAGTTATTACACCATGAAAGATCCAACCGTCTTAAATATTTACATCTAGGTGCTAGGTAATTCAATGCCTTTGTATTAATAATATACCAATACGGTTTTAAGTTTAAGCTTGTATAAAGTAGATGGTCTTGTGCTAAATTATTGAAATGTTTATTTACTCTGCTTACGCAGCATAATGATTTTAAATCTAAGTTTCTTAATATCCTCATTATTATTTCATCCTGCAAGATAAATTATGAAATTTTAATAAATGAAATAACAGTAAATATTATTATATGTGTTATATAAAGACTTCTTGGTATATTTTACAGGAAGCGTAGACAAATTATAACGTGATAGCTTCTTGGATTCATCTGAAGAATGTTTGACATTTTTCATATTCAAGAACTTCGAAAGTTCCTCTGATAAAAAACGTTGCATACTATTAGATCCTTTTGTAAGAGGTGGTATATAATAATGAAGAGTTCCTAGCTGCAATGCTAGTTTGCTAACGTTCTCTACTACATCGCTACAAATAATGATACAAACTTACTTTCATTTATTAAAAAAGTATAAATCTTACTTATATATAATATTGACATTAATATTGTAATACCTTTTGTACATAATGCAATGTTCAGTCAATGTCTGCTTAAGGTGGATTATATCCATATGTGCATTTTGATAATCAGGTGTTAAATTATGGATGTCATCACGACAAGGATACTTGCAGTTAATGCTTTTTAACAGATTAGTTAAACTCTGATTATAAGATGAATCTTTAGGAAATATCAATTCTGATGTTCCAATAAGCATCACAGCATCTATCTCTGTGTAATAGTCCAATAAATTATGATTAAACTCTAATCTGAGTATTTTGGTTTTAAAGTCACACGATCGTAAAGGCGGAGAAAATATTCGTGATGTCGGAGGAACAATCTGAGGTGGTCCGTTCCAAAGTAGAAACCATTGATCTGAAGAATCTTGAGCCCAAATTCGAATTACGCTTCCAGGATTATATACTTCATATATGGAAACTCTTACTGGATATACAGCTTCATGGTACTCAATATCTTTAACATAAAAAATACAGTTATAATCAATCTTTTAAATAGAAGTCTATCTTTTTTTAACAAAATCTCTTATTTATTAATTCAAATATTACGTACCAATATAATCTTGGCTCACAACATCTGTATTGTTCTGTGGCATATAATCAATTGATCTCGAAGGTGCTTTGTCCCACCATGGTCCGTAAGTTCTCTATATTAAAAAGCCAGAGAAAAATATCAAATGTTATAAAACTTTGTTCATTAAAGTGACTATTATTGGAATGATATGTGATCGGATATGGAATAATAAAGTTGTAAAATTAATGGATCTTCCATATTTATTCCAACCCTTATTCCATGACTGTGTTTCAAAATTCACTGCCAATACTAAAAATATATATTACTACCGTTGACCTGGCATCAAAGGTCTATCGATATTCGTAAATTCTCCCAAGTGCTTTGATACGCGTATATCTCTTCATATAGAATCTCGATTGAATAACTCTCTCAGGCATATAAAGTAGGCTTCCACTACAATGCCTTATTAATGAGTCCAGTAGTGGAAGCTGGGACGAAACGCCATAATTACGTGATATTCTTCACAATATATTAGATTAATTTAAAAGATTTTAATGAATTTATTGGCTCATTGCCCTTGTCTCTTTATATTAGTTATATATAAAATATATAACTATATATTTTTAAAAATATATAGTTTACATAACTGCACTACGTAACGTACTATAAATTTTCAGCATTTGTAACAAACTTTGAAACATAGCTCATATATCTTTTATCAATTTTATCAGAAATCAATTGAAGAGTTATAAATAAAATAATAAAATCTGATTGTATATGTATGTGTGTGTACACCATTACTTTAATTTTAATCAGAGTTTAAAATTCTTCTTTTCCATCTTTTTATTGACCTTATGAAAGAAAAGGATCTTTAAGCTTTGCTTAAAATCAAAATGATGGTGTACATACAGATACACACGTATACACAACCAGTCCTAAGAAATAACCATTTAAAAATACAGAAAAATCTGTGATCACTTTTCAGTTTTTAAGACAATAACAAATTATACAATGAAATATGCATACCATGGCAAATGTTTGTGCAAAATCTCCATAATTCGGAAATTGACTGAATGGCCCAATTATGTTAGTAGCAGCATAAGATATGCTGGAATTACCACCATACTGTGAACTAAAACTACGAACATTCTTCACAAACTGTTGGACAAAATTAACATAATTTTCCTCGTCTATAGGTATTCTTTCGACATGTTGACTGTCATTCTCACGTAGGCTGAGGTATACAGGCTGAGGAAGAGATATCATACTTTTGCACTGAAAAAAATAAAATAAAAAGGTGAAGATGCAATGGACAGCAACCCTTTCAAAAATCTATGAAATTATACTCATTCGACGCGTTTTTCCATAAAACGAAAGAATCTGGCAGAAATAAGCGTCGCTCTGCCCGGCGAATCGAGATATTAAACATTAAAGTTAATGACTATTGAGGAAATCTGTCAGCCCTACATTCGCCTCGTCTTCTATATGCATTTCGATCTTATGCGCATGCGTTTCGTTATTTTTCGGTCTAACAGGCACGAAGTTTAAAATGTAATTAAAAATGGATTAGAGAGAAATATTTCAAGTGGACACCGTCTACGGTCTAGGCTGCAACTTCTAGGCGGTTAGGTCCCAAGCGGATAGGATGTTATTTTTTTTGTTTTGGGCGCGTCGTAGCCTCTAAAGCACTACTGTCTACTTGCAGTCCTTTGCTAGATTCTTTTGTTTTATGCAAAAACGCGTTGAACAAGCCTAATTTCATCAAAATCGAAGAATGGTACTGTATTCTGTATAATTACCATATCTTCTTCTTCGTTAATAGCTCCTGCTTCCTTGGAGTAAACGGAAGCCAAATCGCGTCTTATAGTATTGCAGGAATTTAGTAAATACACAGATAGGCTAATGAGATGAAGACTTCAGGTCTAAGCACAAAGATTGTCGTGGATTGACATAAGTTTTCGACAAAGTCGTAAGTCAACGCACAAGGATTTGTCGTAACTGTTTCCGACAGAATCGTAAGTCAATACAAGGTCGATATAAATATATGTCGCATGCCGTAAATATCTTTACGACAATCATTGTGCGTTGACTTACGACTCTGTCGGAAATCATTACAACAATCCTTGACAATCTTTGGGCTCATTCAGCAGAAAAGAGCGCTACGAGAGCGCTCGCTGTTATTGGTGTATTCTTCTAGATCATCCAATCAGAATTTTAAATCTGGAAGAATATACCAATAACAGCGAGCGCTCTCGTAGCGCTTCTTTCTGCTGAATGCGCCCTTTGTGCTCAAACCCTGAGTTGCGGTTAACACAGTCTTAAGCGGGGAGCACAGACTTTTGCATAACGCATAAAGTATGTGCATAAGGAATTTCATTGGTCCATTTTCTTATGCATGAGTCAATGGACCAATCAAATTCTTTATGTATATGGCAGAGAATTAAGGTTGATTTATACTGGCCGTAAACTGTTAACTTATGCCGTAATCTGTAAAAATTGACCAATCACAGTCGAATGAGAGGGGAATAATCGATTATAATTGGTCAATGTTTACAGATTACAGCATAAGTTAACAGATTACGGCCAGTATAATCCAACCTTTAATCTCTGTCTCTGACAGTATATACAGTAGCACAACTCTCCCGATTTTATGTTGCCTAAAATGGAGTGCGCATGCGCGATCGGTTAACACAGTCTTAAGCGGGGAGTAGGGATGGGCGATGTTTAAAAATGGATCGATGTTTTCAAAATCGATGAAAATAAAACGAATCGAAAGAGCATCGATTTAAATCGAAAAAAAAAATCGGAGGTTCGATGAATCGATTTTTTTTTTCACATGAAAATCCACGGACTAGACTTCTGTACATTTTACTAGATTAACTAAATTACTGATAATGCTAAAGGCTGCCACACATACCTTCCGTAACAGTAATCATAAGGGCGGGTTCACACCTCGACGGAAAAGCAGAATAGCAGTAACCAATCAGAACTAGCGCTGGTAGTAAATAGTACAAACTAATAGAAAGTCGACTACCTGATTGGTTACTGCTTTTCCGCTTTCCGTTTTTCCGTCAAGGTGAATCCGGCTTAAGAGTGCTGTCCCATGATACGGAAATTACATCGGAACGGATAGGCAACACATCAAAGGTGCCGACAGAGAGTTGCGCTACTGTATATACTGTGGTTGGGGTCTAACTACCTTAATTGCTGCTTCCACTGTTTGACGCTTGACGGTTGCATATGAATGCACCTTTACATTTACAACTATATTTACACAATTGTAGATCGGTCTTCAGTTATACGAATTGACTGATTGTATTGACTCTGTAAATTTCATGTTCCACGGTCAGTACACGTCATTGGTAGCGTTTGTATTGATGTGTTTGTACTTCGTATATTTTTACTTGCGAATGCGAATTTGAGATTGTTTGGACACAGATTATTGATGTTAATAATCAAAATCCTTTTTATGCAAGCAAAATGGAAGCGTTGTATCATCAAACCAATAAATTAATACAAGAAACGCAGCACATTTTTTCACAGCTTGAGAGAAAAACATCCGACACGGATCTACAAGAAGTGAAGCAAACTATCGAGGATAAAATTATTCTTATCAACAGGTTATTAGAATTGATCATGATATTGTTTTTGCAAATTATTATGTACCACTAATTTTATATGATTTGATCAGTAATTGCGAACGACTCGACATGCTATGCCTCAAAGGTCCAATGTCGCAAAGGCAGAACAACAGAATGAGAGTGGATCAGCTGAAATATGACAGTCGTCATCTTAGCGCTGCCTTGAGCTCGTGGTGCCACCGTGTGATGCGGCAACAAAGGGAGGAGGCAGAAAGAGAGGCTTTACTGGCCAGGAAATTTACTACTAACGACCACGTGGACATCTTTATTGACCATTCCGTTCAACATAATAATAGCTTGCACAATGCCGTCCATGGTATAGATGACCTGTTGCATCAAGGTAGCAGTGTTTTGGATAACTTGAGATCTCAGAGAATAACATTAAAGGGAGCTCACAAACGTTTGATAGATATTGGTAATACCTTGGGACTTTCCAATACTACTATGAGGCTCATAGAGCAACGAGCCAAGCAAGATGGATTTATTTTAGTTGCTGGTATGACCTTTACTTGTATAGTAATTCTGTTGGTGATAATTTATCTCACTTAAGATATTCCAAAGATTGTTGTTCAGTATAATGTATCTGCGATTAATTGTAATTATGCTTTATATATATTTGTTAATTTCTGTAATAATTGCTATCAATTCTTATGAATGAAATAATGATTGTTGCAGCTTTCTAAAATTATTTACTCAAATATCAATTTACTGTAAAAATATTGTATGTATGTAAATATAGATTCTAAATAACGATGAATGTAACTTTTTTAATTTTATTTACTGTATTTATGCTAAAGTATAACATATTTGTACATTTTATTGTAAAACCAGCATTGATAGTATTTATCATAAACTTGTATTTAATTATGATTATCGAAGTTTTTTCGAAGGTTATATTAATCAAGTGTAAACTTCCAACAAGTGACACAAATAACACAGTGTGACACAGCGTATCATGATAACATCCTTGTTGTTCGCCAATGTTAAACAAGAATGAGATGATCACTGTGTTGTACTGTGTCGCTTATTGGAAAGCACACGAAGTTATTCATATTTTTAATGGAGAAATATGAAAAGATTTTAAGAATGTTATCTAATTATGGTAAAGGCGGGGTATTGAATACCCCGTTCAGATGAAATTTTGATAAAAATACACTCATTCGACGCGTTTTTGCACGAAACGAACTAATCTGGCAATAAAAAGTACTGCTCTGTCCTTCGAGATATTAAAATTGACTTCTTCTTCTTCTAAATTTGGGTGGCCCAGATTCCGGCAAAAACCGGATAAACGTGGCCAGTCGCAACAAAAGAAAATTATGTGTGTCAAAAGATAAATGTGAAATCAAAACGGATGATGCAATGACCGCGAGAATGGCGTTGCTCGACCGGTCCCCGGGCGCCTGCGTCTATGGCGTCGTCACGCCACAATAACGCGCGTCATGAGAGCAGGGGGCCTATTCTGTACACGCTTACCGACAACTGTCGGTGTCGTTAAGTAGCGATAATTCGGTGATATTATAATACTACTGTAGTATTTATGCGTTATATGTCTGAATGTTTCAGCGCGCAATTATGGGGGGGCTACATATGTGGTATATAAAAATTCACACATACTTATTATTAGCACTTTGATCCAGCTTTGACCGTTATAGGCGTTTAATTCCTTCCTTGTTTGTAGACAATTTACGGTCGATACAAAAATTAGTATTATTAAAATTGACGACTGTTGAGGTTAGAAAATCTGTCACAGTCACGAAATATGGCGATGCAAACTTACGTTTAGATCACATTTTCATGCTGACGTTTGACGCTCATTTTCAGCGTCAAAACAGATCACGTGATAAGAATTGACGAATAGCAAGTGCCAATTTTAATCACGTGATCTATTTTGACGCTAAAAATGAGCGTCAAGCGTCAGTATGAAATGGTATGTACCTTTAGGCGAGAAACACACACTTGCATAACGCATAAAGCATGTGCATAAGGAATTTCATTGGCCCATTTTCTTATGCATGAGTCAATGGGCCAATCAAATTCTTTATGTATATGGTTTATGCGTTATGCCTAGTTTATACTGGATGCGATGGGCGATGAACGACGAGCGATAACCAATAAAAGCTTTGCTTTAGCTCACACGACGATGTAAAGAAGAGTTCTTATTGGTTATCGCTCGTTACGCATCGCTCATCGCGCCTAGTGTGAACTAGGCATTATGCAAAAGCTGTGCTCCCCGCTTTAAAGCAAAGGAAAACAATACGGAGTTTATTTGGCTGTCAAATAATCAGCTGCGCGTGCGCGTACAGGGACACGCATGCGTTGGTAAATTCCACGATCAGGGGTTACTGCAGACTGCAGCGGCCGTGGGTCCCTGACCACCCCTGACCCTAAGCTGCTAGTAAACATAAGCTTTTGAGACGTAAAGCCACGTAAAACTACGTAAAACGGTCTCCAGTAACGGAGTGATATATTAACCTTATCGTTACATTGTAATATTAGGTGTATATAATTAGGTTCACAATGGTAAGAATTTGTTTTCTTTGCCTCGTCCGGTCAACGATTCAGGTCGGCTAACCTATAAGTCTATTCACGATCTTTTCCCGTTATAGGACGTATTTTTAATGATCAGGCGAAAAAAATTGACGATATTTACCGATGCAAAGGATGACACTACGGTCCTCGAGCTCAAGAAGATGATTGAAGGTAAGGCGTGCATGTCACAAATACGTTGGCAGCATCTTTTTCCTTGACATGTCGCTCGGCCATTCACAATTGAATGATTGTTACTTCAATAAAACGATTTGCGGTTTACTGAGTGAATGTATAATTAGACCTAATCAGTAGTATATATAGAATAAATTAATAGCGTATCAAATATATATATATGTATATATATGTCAAAAAATAATAAATTAAAAAGGAGCAAATAAGAGTTAGATAATAATTTGAAATGTATAAGAAGTCAAGAACTAAAATATATATATATATAGATATTTTAACTAATATTTATTTAAAGAACATCTTATTTTGATGAAAGCACGCTCATTAATGTAGGAATATTAGTAATTGAAAAATAAAATAAACTTCCTATGAAATTTGCTTCCAATTATGCTATCTTGTCTGGCTAAATATAATGTAGTCATGATAGAGTGTTCTGTTGTAACTACATTATATCCAGCTAGACTAGAACAATAATTGATTTGTATTAATAATTAAAAGTTATGTAAAAAAATAAAATCATTATATTCAATATTGGAGTTATCACTCACTTTTTTTTTTCAGGTATAATGAAAGTACCACCGGCGAATCAACAGCTATTTAATAAGGACAATCTTTTAATGTCAGATAACAAGACTTTACAGGATTATGGACTGACATCGTCAACTGCAAAAGCACAATGTCCTGCATTAGTCGGTTTAGCACTGCGTCAGTCTGACGGCCAGTTTGAACCTCTTGAAATGACACCTTTCTCATTACCACCGGATCTGCCTGATGTTATGAAGTCCCAGGAAAATAATGGCCAAGAGCAGTCTCCTTGAAATGATGCAAATAATATTGCGACAATGGACGATGAAGTTTTGTGTTCTGCGCAATTTAGTAATCGTCAGGGCAGCTCTGAATGGTAAAAAGGGTAAAAAAAGAAATCTTACGTACCATGTGTGTGAATACTAGAATGTGAATATGGTAATGAATGCCGTACGATTATTAGATACATGGAACTTTATACAAGTATTCAGAGCTGCAAAATTTTTTAATATTCAATTTAATAAGGATGATATATATAGTCACGCAATTGTCAGTCTTGTAAGGACATGTGATGAGTACTTGATTATTAGACTGAAAGTGATAATAAAAGTAAAAAAAATCTGCTCACAATTGTGCATCAAACCAAATTTATATAGCTATAAAATTATTAACTAAGTATTTTGTTATGGTCAAAGTACGAAATATAAATACCTCAGCTTACATTTAAGTTACAGGTATAGCTTAATTATTTTAAAGCATTTTTTTTTAATTTTCAAATTGAATCTCTCTCTCTCTCTCTCTCCCTCTCTCTCTCTCTCTCTCTCTGCTTTCATTTGTTTTGTATACGTATTTCTCTTATTACAAAGAAAATCAAATTAGATGCAATGTTTTGCATTACATTTTTTATTTAATATGTATGACTCGAGTGGATGTCTAAATTGCAAATTTGGTAGTTACATTGTATTGACATATAAGACAGACTGGATCTGATCTGATACAATACACAATCATAAATGTAAAATATAATGCTCTAATCAATGATCTTTAATTCTATAATATTGTATCCTATTATTGTCTAACTTATACAGTTTTATAACTAATGGCAACACCATTAACTATATGCTACGATAAGACTTGTAACAATACACAAGTAATGTCATGTTACGTGATAGTGAACAAAATATATTGTACATGATTACATATCTTTATTTCATATTTAAAAAATCCTCTAACATATATTTAGCTATTATTCATGTACACACATACAATTTTTTTTCTGATGGAATTGCGTGCTAAATTGGATAAATTTTAGTAATAAAAATAAGAATATCGTTAACTTGTTGAGTTCTTACATTTGCTAAGCATTTCTATTACAAAATCCCTATAGATATCTTTTTTACTTGGCACATAATGTCCACCTTCATGCTGTATCTCTTTCTTATTTGAGAATAAACAACTGATTTGCTCTGCCATTACTACAATAAAGAACAATTACATTAGCACTGATGAAGCATTGTTTAATGATAATCATATTGAATAAAACTTATGATATTAAAGTATTCATCATGTACCTGTTGGAATGACTTGATCGTTCTCTCCATAAATATGCAAGGAAGGTATATCGATTTCTTCATCATAATACTTTGCATGAGGTGCACACAATGACTTAAATCCAGATATCACAATAACAAAATTAAACTCAATTCGTAATACTACAAAAAGACAGCAATTATATATTTATTTTATATAAACATATACATATATGTACTACACTATATATATATGTGTTGTTTTTAAACTCACTTTTCTTCTTCTTCATAGCACATAGTATACTGACAAAAGCTGCTCCCTGTGAAAAACCCAATATTCCATCAAAAGGACCTTGTTCCGAGAATACTTTCTCAATCAAAGCTACACTGTCATCAAATCCTACACACAAGTTACTAGGCACTGTAGCTTTAAATACATGGTCCTCTGTATTAAACCACCATCCATATCCTATAATTCATATGTAACAATCGTTATTGCCCATTAAGTTACAAAGCAATCGCTTGGCAAGATAAAAAAGATTTGTAATTGTTTTTTTTTACTGATATTTCACCATTTTCATCGGTATCCTCTTGACCAATCTTATTTTTTTGGGACGGAACTTTATGTGGTGCTCTTATAAACGTGAATTCCATTTCTTTCTTAAACCCTTTTCTCAACGATCCTAATTTGGCACTAAAGATCACGTCTGATTGCATATATCCATGAAGCGCTAATATCTAAACAAGAGAAATATATTATTTTTTTACACATAAATATATTATTTATATACACATACATTAATTTACATTGATATTTCATATCAATAATTTATTTACCCGCAATTTCGATTTGGTGGCCAGCATCATTCGGCTACAAGCAGCTACAAGTATACAGATATCACATGATCAAAAAGGTTAGTAAACACTCTGTGATATACATTAAAACCTCCATATTCTGGAAACCTTGTTTTTAAGCCGGTTCGTTTTGCTTGCACTTTTTGTATTTAGAATCTTTAAATTTTCTCTTTTCAAAATAATTGAATATATATTTATTTCATTTTAATTGAATATACATTTATTTCACTTTAAATGCAACAATTTTTGAGAATTTCAAGCAATACAGACCTCTTTCTAAATTTGTTACTTCTGAAGAAATATAACAAAAAAATTTAATTATTACACAGCTGTAATTATGGTGAAAGTTGGATCATTAAACACACATTTATCATCATAAGTACAACATAACTTATAAATATGTTTTATAGGGAAATAAAACGTCTATGTGATGAAATATTAATTTAAATTTAATATTTTTTATTTCAATATTAATTTTTTTTTAGAAGAGACTAAACAAAAAATTAAATTATAATTATATACAAAAAATTAAACTTCATAAAAAATTTGCAACATTTCATGTATATTTACAAGTTAGAACTTTTTCAATTTAAACAAAAAATAATTTGTAATACATTTTCATGTATTTCCGTCGCATTAAGGATCGCTGTAATGAAAACGGTCAACATAACTTTTGTTAAAAAGATTTTTTTTTTACTTATCTTATTTAAATAAATCAAAAATGAATTACAATTTCATCAATTTAATTATACATTTTTAACTATTAAAAATTCTCTGTATTTAAAGATTACTAAGATCCATAGCTTCAATTTGTGAATTGAGATTTGTAATATTTTCATTACTTTCAGAATTTCTTGGCTTTGCTTCTGTAGAAACATCCAACTTTGGCCAAGAACCAGGTTCGGTCTTCTTTAATTTAATTTCTACTTTAGTTGGCAGCATATGTACACTACTTTGCTCGACATTAACAATCTAAAGGATAAAGATAAATGTACATCATAAACACTGTTTGTCAATTACACATTCCAAACTAAAATATTAAAATTAATACATACTCCTTTCAATTCTATATCAAGATAATATCTCGAGTTTTCTTCTATAAAGAATAAATCTACAGTCAGATGGATGGGATTTAATTTTATGACGGACTGACTGGGTAGATATTTTTTTGCAAATATAGAAACGACTACATATGCTCCTGTTTGATGCCAGTCCATTCTGCATTGAGCCTTCTTTCCCATACTCTGTAAAAAATTGTGACAATTGTCAAAGATAAATACAGGGTAAGACATTTAATTAAAACAAGTCACCTGAATAACTCGCTTGTTTTTAACAATAAAAGGAAAAGTATCAAACAAAAGTTGCTCGGTTTTGAGAGATACATAATGTGATGTCGATAATTGTTTTGTAGGCGGAGACATAAAAGATAGACAAAGGTCAAATTTGTTTTTTTAAATGGATTATGTTTTTTTATTTACATTTTGATAGAGCATTTTAAGACAAATACAGTGACTTATAATTGAAGATCATTCAAGGTTATGCAAGATATTGCACATAGCATTATCCATATTTACTGAATAGTTTAAATCAGTTTGAATTTATCTATTGATCCAAGTGTCTTGCAAAATCCGTTATATAAAAGTAGAAAAAGTCAATATGATTTTTATCTATGACAATCTATATATTTCACAAAACACACATTTTGATTGATAGATAAATTCAAACTGATCAGTAAATATGGGTAATGCCATGTATGATTCAATATTTATTCACATACTGTGATACTTGAACGATTAACGGTACACCAACAAGCAGAGAAAACACAAAATTGTTCGAAAAGTGCCTTGAAATAATTTATTTTCCATTCAATCATTTTCCATTATTGACCTTGCTTAACCTTGAATAACCTTCAATTATAGGTCACTGTATTTGTCTTAAAATGCTTTATCAGAATGTAAATAAAAAAACATAATTCACCTGTGTCTATCTTTTATACCTTCACCTACAAAATTATTGACATCACATTATGTGTGTCTCTCAAAACGGAGTAAATTTTGTTTGAAACTTCCTTCTATTGTTAAAAACAAGCAAGTTATTCAGGTGACTTGTTTTAAATGTCTCACTCTGTATTAAATGACTATTAAATAAATTTAATATTAAATAATTGATATTATGAATTATCTATAAATGATATACCTTGGAAAACCATATATGTTTGCCTTGCATACAGCCTGGCTGATCCAAAAACAATGAAAATTCTGTAGTTTTCTTTTTACAACAAGACCAATATTTCAGCCCTTCATGAAAGATAGGTACACCAGGATGATAATTGCAAACCTCTTCATCAGAGACAATCCCTGTATAAGTCCCCTTGCAGGAATTGTTTTTACAAGTTTGTCCTATCTGTATTATACTATCAGTTGATTTGTCAACTTCTAAAGCTGTCAACCCTTTAATTTGTTCTAGTAGAGCAGGAGATATTATTGGCGACAGTATAAGCTGAGACGAGTTAAACGGAGGTCTCTCCAGGAATGCTCCATTGCTTACAGCCCCTGTGACAACCCGTATTACTTCATCAACTTTGCATTTATCGACTGGCAGTTTCTCTGGTTCTAATGGTTTCACATTGGAGTGCTTTGACTTCGTACATCCCTTGATATTCAAGAATTCAGTGAAGTCTATACATTTTTTGTTGCAACAAGACCATCCTTTGTATGCATCGTGAAACACTGGATTTCCTGGATGATGAAGGCAATTGTCTGGGGAAAAAATCATAAGAGCATCTTTTTTCAAATATAATTAATTTAATATGAAAAATATAATAAAATGTGCAAACAGCTTACCGTCTTTATTGTCGTTTGGATCGAATTTCTTTCCACAACCGCGATGATAACAATGCAACAGATCTATTTCCTGTGACATCTCGAAAGGATCTCTTTAAACGTTTGAGTATTTGCACTTATCTGCCCCACTAAGTTTTGGAAGAACAGCTCGATAAATCGCTCATACGCTTTTCTCTCTCTCTCTCTCTCTCTCACGATATCTTTTCCAACTTTGTCAGGTTTTGTTTTTAGCAATTTCTAGAATACTCCAAGCAATCCAAATCAGGCTAAAAACCAAAGAGGACAGATGGCATACGGCATAGACAAATATATCTATGATAAAAGTGTTCCGAATCTCGATTAATCTCGATCGATTCGATACAGTCGCTGTACTTAGAGGACTGTAGTTTGCGGTTTCTCGGCCAGATTGCGCTGAAAATCATCTTTGTTTTTCCATGATTTGATTTAAAGGGAAACCGCTGAAATCCGTTTAAATCCGTTATCGAAATCAATCGAGACGCTGTCAATTAATTGTCGGGTGTCGTGTTTCGGTGCTGTTCGGTGCTTCTCGACGTATCCGCATCTCAGACTGTAAACCGCTCGTTGAAGAGTTGTCTCGAATATTAGTAAAAATGAAAAGATCAAAACCGAGAACTAAAAATATGTCCAGGTAAGCGAGAGACGGATTCATCTAAAATCGCACGTTTTGTTCTTAAAGAAGCACAATGAGTATTCTATACATAAAATTCTATGTATAAAATTATCGATATATTCTATATTATTATTTAGTGTGAGATAATAATAATTGACAGGAGAAATTTAATTTTTTAGCAACTCAAAAAACATAGGGATACAGACTGAAAATATTGATAGTCTTATAGAGATTGCCAGGTTGGAAGAACAAGTAAAAATAATGCAACTTGAGATTAGTGTCTTAAGAAAACATATGGAAATCTCGAAGAAGTCTGATGATATTGCACATCATCGAGCTGTTCCTCTCACTCCAACGGCAACAGCCAAAGTTAATGTGGAGAAACTTGGATGTGGCTGTAAAGGAAATTGTTCGTCACGGATTTGTGGTTGTGTAAAAAAAAATAATAAATGTAACCTGTCATGTAAATGTGATGATAAAGTGTGTCATAATCAGGTAAATACATTAACAAGAAAGGAAGAAGAATGTTTAATGGTTTAGCTGGATCTTATTACTCATATAAAATAATAAAATAAACATGTTAATCATATTCTGATCATTTTTAGTATAATTGTACATAAATTAGTTCAGATGCAATATGAGTATAAAACAAATAATTAAGGAATTAATTTATGTACAATTATACTGAAGATGATCAGAATATAATCAAAACATTTATTTTATACTATTGACATAAAAGTTTTTTAAATATATAACGTTTGCTACTGACATCCAGCATTATGGCTGTATTGCTTCTTTAATTATATTTTGTTAATATATTAAAATCTATAAATATTTTTATTGTGAAAAATATTGTATTGACTGGGGATTGAATCAGAATTTCTAAAATTCTGTACAAGTATCCTATGTCTCTAGATCACTAAGGCCTTACTAGTATTTTTCATAATACTTAGTTTATGTATACATTTCTATTTTCAGGCAACATATATAAACATTTATAAACAATATTAAATCAAGAATTTCTAGGATTGTACATTACCTACATTAATAACTTAACTAATAATTAAATATTAACTAATAGTTAAAAAATTTAAATTCTGAAAAATTAACGTTTTAAAAGTCAAACAAAGAGCATGTAAACCTATCGTTATATTTTGTAAAAGTTGTTATAAAATATATTTTTTTTATAATTTAATAATTTTTTATAATATATTTAACAGTAGGCTTATATGTTTCTTATTTGACTCTTATTATTTACATTTAAAGCTTATATTTGATACATTGTAACTTTTTTAAAATTTAACTTGAAAAGATTTTATATAGAAATTTATTTTGTAGAAATCAAATCAAAGTCATGAAGATAAAGAAAATATTAATACAATTGATATGACTTCTAAGAATAAAAATAGGAAGGAAAATGAAACTACAGAGAGAAACCAGAGGGGTCTGTTTAGTCCAAATGTGAAAGAGCTCTCCAAAGTTTTTGAAGACATTCAATTTAATGATATTGAATTTAGTTCTAATGAGAAGAATATGGTTATCAAAAACTTACAAACAGATTTACATGGTATCAACAATGTACAACTCAGGAGAAACCTGAAGAAGAAAGGAGAAAACAATAAGAAACAGCAAGAATTCATGAAGGAACAGGTAAAAGAATGAGAATAAAAGCTATAGAAATTTTGATAATAGTATTTTTTACGAAAATAATATTTTTAAGATTGTGAAAAATGATTTTAAAAAAATAACTTTGGATTCTCAAAATATCATTCCGAGTTTCTATGATATTTTTAAAAAAGTTGATATGATATTTTTAAAAATGATTTAATGCAAGAGAGAGAGAGAGAGAGAGAGATATATCAAAGAAAAGTTTTCTATTAAACACATGAATTGTATGTATCTCGTATATTTTTATAAGATTTTATGAGAAATTTTTTGTATTCAACAAAATTATTAATATTTCTTAACATTTCTCAACTTTTTAACATACTTTTTATTGAATTTTTACAAATACAGGTACTATTTGATCCAATGAAACCAAGACATCAATTATCACGAACACCACCAAAACAATTTGAGAAATCACCGGAAGTTGAAATTACAATTCAATCTCAACTACAATCTAAACCAACTCGAGAAGTAATATCTTCCCATACATGTCAAGGTATATTGATATTTTTAATTAAATTAATAAAATTGCGCTATTGATGAAACAATACTGTATATATAAATTTAGAAAATTTTAATTTATTATTTTGTTGAATGTCCCTAATCTTGATAGTTATATGTATAATATATTTGTTAGTTCTTAATGGTTAGAATAACTAACCATTAAAGTAAAATTGAAGTTAAGAAATTGAAGTTAAGAAGAATGAAATTAATTGAGGAATAAATTATAATTATGTAATTTTTAAATAATATCTTTAAGTATAAAAGAAATATAGTTGCTTACATTTCTTTTATACTTAATTGTTTATAATTCAAAAGTACCAATAAATTTTAATATAGAATAACTGTCATATCAAATTTTTTTTATAATATTAACAATTAATTAATTAAAAGAGGTTATGGTAGAAACGACAAAAACAATTAGTATATTTTTAAATATAACCAAAAAATTATTCTATAAGCTATATGTGATGCACAATGAATTTCAGATATGAAAGAAGAAAAAATTAATTGGGAAGAACACTCTGCACAATTAATTCCTTGCAAAAAATGCAAAAGAACTTTCATGCCCTCGCGGATCCAGAAACATGAAGCTTGCTGTCTAGGATCTAAATATTGAAAGATTTAAATATTGAAAGAATGTTCATATTGAAAAAAAACAGATATTGCTTACTTTTTTTAATTTTATGTATCCCTTTGTGACTTATAATCTTTTAATTTTATCTTGAAGACAAGAATATATAATGTTAATTTTAGTATATAATTAATTATTTTAAATGTAGTGTTATTTTAAAATGTATCTAAAAGATAAATTGGTATAAACTATTTTTTTGTAATTACATTCTGATTCTTTGTACATAAATAAAATAGATTAGTAGAGAATCTCGTATATAGAACCAATCATGTTTTTTAATTATAAGAAATTATTGTATACATTTATGAAAAAAATATACGTGAATATAACTTGGCAATGTTAAAATAATTTTTTATAGAAATATGTATGTATACTTTTGGAAATATATACTTTTTATATACCGTAAAAAATATATGTGTAAATACTGATAAAAGTATAATAATAATAATGAATGTAATACTAAGACTCCCAAAATTCAACAATAAATTGAAAATTAAATGGAAATCATTGCGATAAACAATGTGCAATTTTTTCTATTTAATAAAACTTTAATAATCGAAATACAAATTAATTTCACATGTATTAATTAATTGGACATATAAAAACTGCAGCTTTCAAATTGCTTCAATCCTTCAATTATTACAAATTTACTTATGATATACTTACAAATTTATTTTATAATATAATATTTGTTAATATTAAATTTAAAAAATAAGAAATGTAACTTATATAAAGTGCCCATTTCCACCAATGCAGATTAATTTTAATCTCGGTTCAATTTGCTTTTCATCTTTTTCTAATTCTAAAAATTTGAAAAAGATTAACAGTAAGTTAAACCGAGATTAAAGTTAATCTGTATTGGTGGAAACAGGCATAGGACGACTATTAGGGCCTCTTTCACCAACGCCGATTAACTTAATCGACGATTAGTTCATTGGAATTGACCAATCGCGTCTGTCGTCAAAACTAAATGATAAATGCGATTGGTCAATTCCAATGGACTAATCGTCGATAAAGTTAATCGGCGTTGGTGAAAGAGGCCCCCTGAAGTCCGCTAAACGTGCCCATTGGTGACTTTGCAAATGCGCCATCTTGATCCTATTTAATTCATACTACAAATTCAAATTAAACTGAACTTGCGGTACTATCACTGTGAGTTGCCATATCCAGTCGGGAGAAAAATAAAGATTGAAGAACAAGAAAACTATTGAAGTGGTAAAATGGATCGTCTAAATGATATCTTGGGACCACACATTCGAGCCAGTAAAACTAAATTGTCGTACGTGGATGAATTATTTCCTGATCTTAAAGATAATCCGTACATTATCCTTCATAAAAATGTAAGTATCATGTAAAACCACAATTGGTAATTATGAAAAAGAGCTCCGACCTCACCAATTTTAGTGAAATTAGGCTCATTCAACGCGTTTTTGCACGAAACGAAAGAATCTGGTAGAAAAAAAATCATATTCCAAGCAGACTTCGGAGCTCTTCTTCATAATTACCTCACAATTTCCTCTCATAATCCACAAAATGATATAGTGATCTGCTCCAGGTTCCTGGCGTATGGCACCTCTTGGACCACGAAAAGAAAGAAGGAAGCTTCAACGAGCATTCAATAAGTAATGAAGCGTTTAACTCTAATTGTAGAGTTATTTTCACTCTATCAAGAAATATATAAAATTTGAAATGTTCTTTAGGACATGATGTAAGTGGTTCGCCTTTGGAGTATTCATTTGGTAATTGTGAATTCGATAACTCTGTTGTCTTAACAAAACAGAATTGGCGAAAAGAAGAAGAGTCATATTTACCATTGAACAGAATGGATGCAAGGTATATACGGAGTCAATGAGATTAAGGGATATCTGATATCTAATAAGGAATAAGGAAATTAATACATGTATATAGTTGTATATACACTTAATTATTAAATAGAATTATTGAAAGATATTTGTAATATACATCAAAGTACACTTTCCAGTAATGCAGTGAATATATGTCTTGAACATCTTGATACTAATGCTTTGCCAATACTAGCTCTCTGTGATGGAAAAGATCCTAAGCAGAGCAGGCTTATTGGTACCATGGTTTCCCAAGATTGGTTTACCACACTAGAAGCTGTTTCGACTGATACGACAAGTCTGGCTACAGTAAAGAACAAACGTCACAAAGCTATACAGGAACATCTTAAACATCCATTTACACAAGAACATAATGTATGTAATATATAAGAGTAATTGTTTTAACATTGGAAATAGGAAATTAATTGATTTTTTATATATGTAGATTAAAATATCTTTGTTCAGTGCTCTTGACTTGTTTGGGATGAAACAAGAAACAATTGATTGGGATAAGACTACCAAAAGTGATTTCGAAGGAAGCATTAACATTGAAATGCATTCAAGTAGCTTAGATTCAAAACCGTCAAAAATTACTTTGGTTTGTAAACGTAAAAGATTGAAAATATTACATATATTCTTGTACCTATACAATATTTTTGTAGATAGCTCAAATAAATGCCGAATGGAAGAATAGCCTATTAAAAGAACTGAGAGATCAATTATTTTTATTAAGCCAGTATTTATCAACAATAGATGAGTGTAAGAAAAATCTTGGACTGCAACACTCAACAATATTTACAACATTATATTTAGAAGTAAACAAATTTTTGTATATTTCCCTAAAAACTTACTATTATTTTTCCTATCTCTGATTATGTATATAAATTATGTATATAAATATTTTAGGAACACGACATCATAAATGAAAAATTAAATCTTTTGCTGAATGGAGATTTCAGTTTTCAGAAGTCTGATAATAGCAATGTTAAGGAAAACAATCACATCAACAAGGAAAATTTTGAAATTGATGCAAAGCTGCGGGAACGTGTGCAAAATATTTTTTTGAGACATGATGCAGATTTCACTGATTTCTTATGGGAAATACTTATAAGTAAGTTTGAAATGTTTTAAGTGTATTTGTTTATTATATCTTACATTGTTAGCTGATTGTGTATTCTCCATATGCAAAGAGGCTTCAACATATCCACAAATGATAAACTATATAGAAATAGTTTTGAAGGAAATTATCGAACATAAATTTAGACCGCAGGTAATTAATCTGGTTTATCTCAATTATAAATTTAAGTTTAAAAAATTTGTACATACTATTTTGAAATATGTTTTAGATCAATGACACAAATTTAACAAGATTTGTGAAATGTATTTCCAATCTGCATCATCAAGAAACAATATCTCATTTATTAGTGGGAAGTGTACCATTAGAACTTGTTGTAGATATGGGATTTGAGAAGCTTATTCGAGATTATTTACATATCTTAAGAGGAGCGCGATTTATCAATCTACACGATATTCGACAAAAACTAAATAATATATCTTCCGGAATTTTTAATACAGAGAATTACAGGTAATACAAATATAGAAAATATTGTTAATTTAACAGATCAGAATTAATTAGCATTAACTACGACTTTATTATTTGCAGGAATAAGTTGATAATATTAGCACAAATGCATATCTGTCTGGAATGTATGTTACTTATTGAAACACATCTGGAATGTCCAATTGAAAATTTGCAAAGTCTGTTTGCTTACGTTTGCAAAGAATTTGTATCTGAACAGTCTCCTTTGCAGCATTATTCTGATCTTTGTAGTCGAATTTTTACTTTTACGGTGCTTTTACCCAACTCGTTAGCTAATGAGTTAAGCAAAATGTACGCTGATAGTATTGATACAAACATCAAAAAAAATTTTATTTACCTGTGAAATAATACAAAACTAGTAAATGCTACAAAACACACTGTATCTTATTTTAGGAATCCCTCTATATGGAGAGCTTCTGTTTCGTCTCATTCTGCCACGTCGATACTGACTACTACTACCTATTACAACAAACTGCCTATTTTTCCAACAAATATATATTCTACTGGTAAAACAAATAACTAAAAAGAAAAGAAACTTATATGATAAAACTGAATTCTTCTACTAATTTTATTCTACTTTTTTTCTACAGACAATGTAGATGTACAAGAAGAAATAGTCTATGGCATAAGCGCTATATCATCATCGGCAAAGTATAAAAAACTGTGAAATGTAACGCTCTTGAACTAAAAAAATTAATTAAAACTTTAGAATTGTGAAATTTTGAATAAACGAAACATGGTGCATAATGTAATTGAGTTTAATTAATAATTGATAAAGTTATAAAAGCAATCTCATAAATCTTCAAATACAGTTACATGTATTAGATATATAAATATAACTACATTTATGAGTGTTTTTGTACTCTCAGTCAATATACACTCGAGCATGCTATTAATCATTCTCTGTGATTGACACAAATCTTATTAAATTATCATATTGCAAAGTATACATATATATAAATTTCATTTAAATGATTATTTTCAATGTACAAAAGTATATCATTAAAAATTCCTCATTCAATTCGAGATGAATTTCGTAATCGATATTAAAATGAGTTCGTCACACACGCGATAAAAAACTTTTTACAGAATATATAAAATTAACGCTACGAATTGATTTTTATAATCCAATTTCCTTCAATACGCTTTGGCGATTGCGAGATAAATATCATTTAAAAGCTTTTCTTTCTTCAGTGAGTCACTAAACAAAGTGTTGGTTTTTCATAGTAAGTACACAGTATTAACAACATATTCAGAAAATGCGGGTAAGGAAATTAAGGCATATCTTTTTTTTTTAATACTGAGATGTGTCTACGTCGTCCGTCCCAGAGACAGTAGTGTGTTCCAGCACGTGGAGTAATTTCTGCATTTCCATAGAATCGGACCAATTATCGAGCGTTCTTTCCAAAGCTCGCACATATGACATGCAAGTTCGTCCTTCGTGATCCAGATTCTGTGGATTCGCTTTATGCTGCAATGTTTGCGATAACATAGCTATAGCAAGGGGTAATGAGGAACTGCTTTAAATATATGGAAAAGAAACATATACCCATATTAAAAGTTGTGCCATTGCCAAATTTCCGGTTGCACAGACTAGATGTAATGGCGTTCGCAGATCTTCCGTACTAACCGAAATATTAATGTCTTCATAATTACAGCGAGCCAAACATAATGTAAACGCTCTCATGTCTCCCCTGTATATATTCGAAGATAATAAGATCGCGGGACTCGACAATTGATTTCTGCATCCAGTTTGATGAGATACTTTACCGACAAACCGAATCGATGAGTAATTTTCCTAAAGATATGTTCGGGTTGATCGGTGGCAAGAAGAGTTTATCTTCGTACTTCCATCTGATCCATTGCTCCTTTTCTTTTCTAGACGAATCCGAAGCGGGCTTCTGCTTTCCGTTTAAACAATACTCCCAGATACTATTAGCTATATCGTTACCAAGGGCCAGCATGACGCTTAGGTGACCTGTGCTAAAGCCGTTGTTAAAGATGTATCATTAAGTATGGACATTAAAAACATGGAACAAATATAAATGAATATGTATTAGTAACGCATGCAAAATTTTGCATCATACTTACGACCAGTCATCTAAATCCAAGGATCGTACCTTGGATATGTGCGAACCTAAATTTCTGTGAATACCGGAGCATTCGATACACATCAAAACGCCCAGATTAAGGCTGGCCCAATCGGGGTCTGAAATAAAAATTTGTAATTATAGAGTATGCACAAGTTATTAATTGTGTGGTAATCAATAAAATAAAAATCAATTCACTCGGTGCACCACAATCAACGCATGTATCATTCCCCGAAACTTTGTTTTTTATGCAATGCATCTTGAAAACATCAGTCTCGTTTTTCTTATCACCATCGCTATTCTGTAAACTTGATAGTATTTGCTGTTCTATCGCGGTAATCCATCTGTCCCTCTCTTCAGCATTATTTGCTTCAAAGTGCCAAGTTTTATTTTCCAAGGAAATGATGGAAAATTCGAAACTATCTTCTGGAAAAAGAAAGAATGTGCATGTTAAGATGATAAAAGTATATTCTATAACCATTAATTACATACATGCAATTTGCAAAGTGCAATACCTTGAGCATTGTATGATTTGGAACCTTTTGGTGTTTTACCAGGTACTTTCACAGTAACGTATTGCAAAAGTATTTCTTTGCCATTAGTATCGTTCATGTAATCCTAAAAATGTTATGTTGTACTAAACATATCATATAAGTGCATAAAGTGATAAAATAGACAACTATTGCATAACTGATAATTACATGTAAACTCGAATGATAAGTCAAACGCCCATCTTCTAATAATGTTACGTATTTTTTCTTCCATTCTTTCAATGACTTGCTGCTTCGTTTAAATAAATAACCTTGTTTTACTGGTATTTCTCTACCAACACCCATTTCACCCATATATTTCTCCTTTTTCGAAGGTGTAAATATATTCGATTTTCTTCTAACTTTCCTGATAAACCAAATAATATTATAATAGTATTAATATAAAAATATAGAAAAAAAGTATATTCAAACCTAAGAGTGGTTGGTGTCAAGATTGAACGCTGTTCTCCATATTGTGTCAAGATTGAACGCAGTTCTCCAGGTTGATTCTGTACGTTATTAAAATTATCGTTCAGCAACGACGAATCGTTTGACATAGAACTATTGTGAATGGATCGACAATCCTCGTCTTTTTCTGAAACCTGTTGAAAAAGTTACTTTAAACTTATATGGTCTCTTTCATTTACTAGAGAATGTAACTGATAAATTAACTCACGTTTACTTTCAATGAATTTGTGATCTCTGTATCTTTGTTATGAAGTTGTACGTTTTTAGTAACAGCAGGGACTGCAAATTTAACTTTATTCTCTGATGCATGTTGACATAAATCGCATGAAAAATTCTTCATCGATATGTTCTGTATGATTTTTTGACACACTGAAATTTTTCTGTTGTTAATACAAACATTACAGCTAAAATTCAATTCATAATTCAAAAAATATGTTCATATTTTAACTTATAACATGTTTGTGTGTTTAATTCCTTGTGTAAACATCCTTACCATCTTGAAATACTCTTTCAACATTTAAACCATAAATAGCACATGTTTCATAATAAGGACATCTTAAATCACAAGCCAGTTTTCGTGGTCTGACATCTTTTATGACACGAGGATTGCTGTCGTTAATCGAATCTACAAAAAATCAATAAATCAGAAAGATAAATATAAATACAAAAAAATTAATAATTTAATATATGATTATAACATACCTTGTACACCTACAAGTATTTTTGGTACTTCTGACATATTCCGGAAAGAACACATTCTATTGTAAAAACTGCAAACTATAGAGAAACTCTCTTCATTTTCTAAGCTGAATACAAGTAATAAAGCATCTATCCAAGCTGAAAACTGAAGTGGACATATCCATTATTATTTGATACAACAAGAAGCATTAGCAAATAATATGATATATAAATAAATTTTGTTGCATACTTGAGCCTCTGGGACACCACCCTCATCCCTTATCAAGAGAAGGTAACTCTGATCATTTATAAAGATTTCCTTTTTAAAACGACCACCTTCTGGTGATTCTTCATGCATGAAGGACCCTGTAAGATATCTATGAACCAGAGCTGACTTTCCTGAGTCTGAGGAACCAATAATTCCCAGATGTAATTCAGGAACATCTCTTGCCAATGTCCATTCATGGCTGTTGACGAAGGAATCTAAAGGAACATAAATTTATACTGACTATACTTCAGTGGAGATAACTAGTCAATGAACACTATTCCTTAATACAATTGGCTGTATACAACAGAGAAAATAGGTTCGCAATGTTTGTAAAATTCTTTAATATGGTTTAACCTTATTTTATTGGATTTAAATGTATCAAGCATATTAAAGAATTTTATAACTTTTACAAAGCAGTTTTTTCTACTGAATACAGCCTTTTGCCATTTATGCCTTAGACCCAGCAAATTAAAGACAAGAATAAATTACATCAAAGAATTATGGAGCACTCACTGAGATCAATTTTCTCTACTAAGTGCAGATATATTATATATAGTGCAAGCTTCACGTAATATAAAACATTATACATAGTATTTAATCATGTAAGATGTCATTATTATAATACATAAATGTTGCAACTAGAGCAAACATCGCTTCCTCATTGAGAAGTATAGAAAATGTATGTATAATTGTAAAGCATACCCTCTATTGCTACAACATGCTCGCGAATTTGTTTAGCGATGTGCGCATCGGGCACAAGCTCTATCAAATCATAAATGGCATATATCGACGGATGAACGCTCTCAAAACGTTGTATTTCCTGTCTGATAGCGAGAGAATGGTCGTGTCCACTTTGACCAGTTGTCATTTTTTTGTCGACGTTCGATTTTCTTTGGCGACGATATATCACATTATCGGCATCGCTCCGAAGTGTATCGCGCGGGCATCACCGGGGAGCAGGACGACTTTCGCGAAGCTTGAAGTTGCTGTTGGCTCATATGTCAAATCTCAATATTTATAAACATTATCGATCGGGATCGGCAACGTTGGTTATGTGACACAACCGCGATCGCGGAGAGAAACGCGTATTAAATCCAACCCAAGACCCAATGCGAAGAATAGCGATAGCAATAGGAATAAGGCAGTTTCAACTTATCAGAAATCGGATACACCGGAATATACAGTTTTTGATAGGTTGAAACTGTGTTGTTCCTATCGCTATCGCTATTCCTTCGCATTAGGTGCATCCAGAAACACGACCGCTCACTAAGCGCTCAATGAGCTTCTGATTGGCATATTCTATTAGATCCAAATATGTAAACCAAACAGGTGCAAGAGCTCACTGAGCGCTCAATGAGCGGTCGTGCTTCTGGATGCACCCATTGCGTCTTAAGCCGTAATCACACTAGCGATTGCGCGATTGTGATTGACGATTAATGATTATTTCTCAGCCAATCGGAACAAAGCAATCGGTGACTGCTTTGCTGTGATTGGTTGAGAAGTAATTCTCAATCGTCAATCACAATTAGAGATCCTAATATATAGGATAAAATATAGGATCTTTAATCACAATCGCTCAATCGCTAGTGTAATTACGGCTTTAGGCTTTAACTTTTTTTATGTCAACATAAGTGGGGAAAGGGGACAAATTTTCCTCCCTCGCGCATGCCCAATCGATTTCTTTCGGCGGATTAGTCATCCCCTCCATTAACATTGGCGATGTTCCAAAGCGAATCCAGTTGCGGGATTCTCTAAACGTTTTATCCATGGAGTAATAAGGAGATCTGCAAGCTCGAGAATAAATATGGGCTCGAAACACGGTTTCGGAAAACCCCAATGGAAAATCGAGATGTGATTTTAGCGCCATTGCGGGAAAAGTTGGAAGTATTGACTGTCGGATCATGTGGCATACATTTCTCTTTCTCTAACCTACATTTTGCTAACCTACATTTCGATATGTTCGATGTGTTTTCCGACAGGCGCGCTTGGATCAGTTTTTCTAGAGTTCCTATAAGAGAGTTGTGTCAATCTGAAGTAAAATGGCGTCTAATTGGGACTCTGGCAGAAAGGGACGCTAGACCTTATACTACGAAGAGCGTAAAATCATAGTGGCAGGCGAGACGAAAGCTTGCTAAAGGTTGATTTATACTGGTCGTAAACTGTTAACTTATGCCGTAATCTGTAAAAATTGACCAATCACAGTCGAATGAGAGGGGAATAATCGATTATAATTTTTACAGATTACAGTATAAGTTAACAGATTACGGCCAGTATAATCCAACCTTAATACGAACGGCAACGAGACTTCGGGTTTAAGTCCCGGCACCGGTGGAGTCCAGATATTTTTCTCGACCCACTCTTACAATATCAAAATTATAAGTAAGTCTATACATTATTATAAAGCTTTCGAATTAAAAATATATAAAAGATACAGATATTATGTGGTCGAAAGTGACATTCTAACCTTGTCTACTTGTCAATATTATATAATTTAACGTAAATTCTACTCTTACAACTTCTAAAATCTAAACCACCGCGTTCACATTACTCAAAAGTGGGGATATAACAACATCGATGATTGGTTCCGCCATTTTACTTCGAAGCCAATGAAAATTTATGCAAGATTGACACAACTCTCTTAGGCCGGAATCAGACTACGTATTGAACATTGAGATTAAAGATTGAAAGGTTGAAATTTGGCCAATCTAAATAATAGCAGCAAAAATTCTTTTATTCTCATTGGTCAAATTTCAATTTTTAATCTTCCATCTCAATTTTCAATGCGTAGTCTGATTCCGGCCTTATAGGGACTCTAAGGGTTGGATTATACTGGCCGTAATCTGTTAACTTATGCTGTAATCTGTAAAAATTGACCAATTATAATCGATTATTCCCCTCTCATTCGATTGTGATTGGTCAATTTTTACAGATTACGGCATGAGTTAACAGTTTACGGCCAGTATAAATCAACCTTAACTCGGAGTTGATAGAGTCAAGTTTTGGAACGCACCCCATAGAAACGCAACCGGTGTGCCGCATTCTGATTAGCTAATAGCGCATTTCACTGGCAGAGCTAGTGCGCACTTAGTGCACATTAAAGTCGTTATACACTACTCTAATCTGATATTAAAATAAGATATCTCAAATGATAAAATGCTTATTGTGTATTTTGTCAAATAACACAATAAAATATATTGAAGATTTTATGGTTTTAATCATTTTTTTATTTTTATTAAACATATATTTCTATGTCGATTTGTGTACAAAGGTATTAAAGTACACTGAGTGCGCACTAGCTCTGCCAGTGAAACGCGCTATAACTGTCAGCCAATCATGACATTCATTCAGTGGTACTAAAAATGGCTGACTAACAGACGATTGGTGGATTTCATAGTTCGTCTGAAACGACGTCATTTTTAGTACTTTTCTTAGTAGTTTTGCGATACTGACTTAAGCCGGTTGCGCTTCTCTGATATCTAGGACTCTATCTACATCCAGCTTCAAAATTCTGGCAACACTGGGTGTGGCAATCTCGATATTAGCCAGATCGACTTCGCGATTGAAGTATGATATCATTCTCCTTCTAATCTAAGAAGAAGACCCAACGGGACTGCGCAAGTGACTACGATATTGCAACATAATTTAGGAGCTTCGTTTGATATCCAATTAAGACATAATGACGAAGAAAGGTATGTGCCAGTTGTTACGTCTACGAATCAGTGGAATCATGGAAACAAGCATCTCCATTCCTCTTGCAAATATATCAGTAATTGATTATTTCCATGATAGTTTAATTTATTGTTTGAATTATTTTGTATTTAGAGAAACAACAATATAAAGAAATAAATCAAATAAACAGATAGATCTATACAATTAATCTATATATTATAGTTCTCACCATATGTAGTTTGATCATGTTTCTGATTTACTGATACAATTTGACCTTGAATTGATAGTATGGTTTTTTTAGCTGTGAAAAAAGGAGCTAAACTATGTAAGAAATACAGCTAAACAGACAGATAAGGGTACTTATTACAGAACATATTGAAATAAATTCTGATTGAAATTTATTTCCATATATTCTGTAATAAGTATTCAGGTCATCAACTCAGAAGTCAAAATAAATCAACAAATCAAAAATGTTATAAGATTAAATCTCATTTCATATTCCAAAGTTATGATAACAACCTCAAGGTTATTATAATACAAACAAAAACTGTACTAAAAATACATATTCACGCTAGTTATATTCTACTTGAATAGTTATATTCACAGCATTTTTAGATCATTTTATTTGTTTATTAAATATTTTCTGTTGTTTATTAAATATGTATCATACAAAGAAGAATGTTTTACTTCCAAGCATTACAACTTGCAAACATCAAATAAAACGCACTCATGGTTGCTGTGCATACTTGTGTTTATAGAATAAAGTCAAAAGGCTTGTTCTTTTTGCCTGCACTGTCTGAACTGATGTACACAGTGTAATAAATTAAAATGAAACAAACATACATCTGTTTCACTTCAACTTATCACACTCTATACATCAGTTCAGTAAAAAGAACAGGCCTAAGATGACATTAGATTCTTTACACCTAAAGTTTTTGTATAATTTATCTTTATTTTTTTTCTTATAATATTCCTATTATATATATATATATTAAACCTATTTTATTATAAGTTTAGAAAGTATAGCATAATGTAGCTATAAGGGATGTATTTGTATGGGAGCTTATGTATGTATTTATGCAAGAGTAATTACTTCAAATTAGCTGAAAGCTCTTGAAGTATGCAAATGTTATATGTATATTATAATTCTTTAAAACTTCATTCTTTAATTTAAGAAATAAAATATATTTAATAGAGAAAATAATACAAATTATAGGAAAGAAGAAGAAGCAGCAGCAAGCAGCTGCTTCAAAACAAACTTCTGATGAGAAATCCCAAAAACATGTGCAGCAAGAACAAGAGGAAGAGGAACCAATAGAAGAATTACCTAGTACATCAACGCAACAGATGACATCCAAAGGTTTGAAACATTGACAAATTAAAATGGCATTAGAATTTTTGTAGCTAAACTTTTTGAACAATTTTTTTTACGTTTTTTTCTCTAATATATTGTATGTACATTAGGTGTGTTTGGCAATGTAAATCTGAGATGAGAGCTAGCAGATAATTAGCCTGATCACATGATCTTCGAGCAAATTGAGTATCAAAAATTAATTTCAAACGATATAGAGCTGCATAGTGTCATTTAAGGTTATGGTAAATGTTAAAAAGATTTCGGCCACCTCAAATTTTGGTAAAAATGCACTTAATCGTTGTGTTTTCGCAAAAAATAAAGATTTATAACAAAAAAAAAAGCATCGCTCTGCCCTGTGAACTGAGATATTAATCATTAAAGTTGACAACTATTCAGATTCAGAAATCTGTCACAGCAGTGATTTGTTTTTAAAATATAATAAACATAAATTCACTGTTTTAGCAAAATATTTGTTTTTAAGAAAATTTGTGTTTTTAAAACAATGAACCACATTGCTGTAACAGATTTCCTAACTTGAATAACCATTGACTTTAACAATTAATATTTTGATTCACAGGGTAAAGCAACGTTCTTTTTTTATTAAATCTTTATTTTTACACAAAAATACATCTATTGAGTGTATTTTTATCAAAATTTGAGTCTTAAGATTATGATTCAAAAGATTATATTCAATTTAAGCGTGGAATCTTGCATTAGCTCTACGAGCTCGGTCTTTGAATCCAGAGTGGATTAAGGAGCTTGATTAGCTCTAGAAATGTTAATACCGAACGCAGATGAGATGACATGTAACAAAAAAATACGCGTTGCCGAACGATTTTCGAGGTGAAAGAGCAAACGGATGCCTCTAACTAATTTGCAATGTCGAACGCACCTATTGAAGTGTAAAAAAATTTTTTTTATACTGACTTCGTTACAAAATGGCGAAGCTATAACTCGGCAATGGTAACGTTTTCTCATGGACAATGCTTTGCAGCTGGAACGATAACTCTGACAATTTTTAATCTAGAAAAATAAAAAACCGAAAATTATTTATTCTACATTCTCCAAAAGCTAGAGAAAGACGCATGGAAATTGCAATATACCGGTTTTTGAAAAAAAAAAAAATGGTATGAATTTGATGTATATAAATGTTAAATTTAAAGGGTAAAAAATAGATAGAGAATTGTTTATACAAAAAAAAGTACGCAACATAAAAAAAGTCCGTCTTTCTCTAGTGATAATAAATCAACAACAAAATTGTAATATATCTGTAATATCTGAGGATGGCTCGAGATTGAGGTCGAAACATGACGTCTGTGAAGCTGGCCCCTCATTGTCAAAATTTTGAAAAAATAAACAGAGTTCTGGTAGCCCCCTAAGAGTTCTAACAATTATCTTTAACAAGCGATGCTCTAAAATTAATATGTAAAAAGTTACAGTACTTTGAAGTTACAGATTTTGAATTTTTCTAAGTTTACAAACGAAAAATATTTTCTTGGAAATTCGTTGAGAGTTCTGGTAGCCCCTCAAAAAGTTCTAATGATTACCCTAATAATCGATGCTGTAAAATCAATATCTGAAAAGTTCTGGAACTTTGAAGATTCAGTTTTCGAATTTTTCTAACAATAAGTCCACAGATGTTAAACATTTTTTTTTTTAGAAATTCGGTGTTTTCGTGTATGTGAAGCTGACATATTATTTGGTGGAAACTCAAAAAATATTGAGAGTTCTGAATGTATTTTCAATAGTTCTATAGTTCCTGATAAATAAAACTAAGGCTGCGTTCCGTTTCAGACATATGCGCGCATTTATATAGTCAGCGTCACCTATAGTCTATACTATAGGGGAATGCGCGCATATGCGTGAAACGGAACGCAGCCTAATAGTTCTGCCTTCTAAAGTGAAAAAAAAGCAAAAGTACAAACTGAGACGATAAGTTCGCAGCGTCTCACTTTGTCCTAGACAACTTTTGACCACAGATTCTTGTAGGATTTTGAAAAACATACACCTCTCTCTACATAAGTTTTAAAAAGAGTTCTGGCGATAAAAATTAATAAATAATTTGTATCATTAGAACTCTTCGAAAGGCATTAGGATACATTCAGTACTTCACAAAAATTATCATAGGACTCTCAGAACTGTCGAGAATTGGACAGGGTCTCATTTTTATTGCTGAAAATTAAATTTTTGGGTTAAAATATTAAAAATTGAAAATAACATTGTTTATCGCCAAAATTCTTTTTAAAACTTTATAGAACTGTGTGTTTTTCAAAATCCTACAAGAATATATAGTCAAAAGTTGTCTAGGACAAAGTGAGACGCTGCGTGAACCTGGCGTCTCAGTTTGTACTACCGCTTTTTTTCCACTTCAGAGGGCAGAACTATTAGTTTTATCTATCAAGAACTATTGAACTATTGAAAATACATTCAGAACTCTTAATATTTCATGAGCTTCCATCAAATAATACACCAGCTTCACACACACGTTTTTCGTCTGTAAACTTAGAAAAATTAAAAATCTGTAACTTCAAAGTACTATAACTTTTTAGATATTGATTTTAGAGCATCGATTGTTAATGATAATCGTTAGAACTCTTCGGGGGGGTACTAGAACTCGTATCAGATTGCCGAATTTCCATAAAAAAAATTTGGAAATTCATTATTTTCTTGAGAATTCTGATAACCCCCAAAGAATTCTATCGATCGTCCTCTATAGACCAACGTGCTAAAATGAACGGTTTAGAAGTTATTGCTCTTCAAAGTTGCAGAATTGCGAATTGGCTCCCCCGTTATTTAAAATGGTGTTTTAATCAATGGAACTCTTCCTAAATTTGTTGGAGAATTCTAGAACTCTTGGGGAGCAACCAGAACTCTGCTTATTTTTTCAAAATTTTGACAATGAGGGGCCAACTTCACAAACGTCGAAACATGACGTTCGTCATATCGCGCAATGACTGTAACTAATGTAACAAATTTTATTATAGATTATATATATTTGTAATTAGTGAAACTTGAATTTGACTCTTACATGTTCTGTACAATTTTGTTGTTGATTTAATAGATCAAGAGTCCTGCACTTTATCAGGAGACGCGGCAGTGTCTGGTCATGTTCAAAAACTGAAGACACTACAAATCTCTTTTATCCCGAGCCACCAAAGTTTATTTTTGGGGGGTGCATAACTACTAAAATATAAAAAATTTTGAATCGAACGTTATATGTTCTGAAAAGCCGCGTCCCCACGAGTAATTTGAGAGAAAAAAAATTTTTAATCAAGTCGTTCTGGAGATAAGTACAAGCGGTCGAAAAGTAATGATTTTAATGAAAAATTAAGAAACGTCTCCTTCTCCTTCTTCTTCTCCTTCTTCTCTGACCTCATTCAAGGTTGTATTAAAACTTTAATTCTCTCTCACTTTTCACTCGTATCTCCATCATCTTCGACCCATCGGATCCCCCCCCTCTCCCTCCCCCACCTCCACCACCCTCTCTTTCGTATTTATTGTCTCTAGAAAATGTAATTTCAAAGCTATAGTTCAAATTTCAAGTAAATCGGTCAAGATTTATGGGAGTTATATTTCCTGTCAGTTTACAAAATGTGGTTTTGAGAAAAACGCGTTTACAATTTTATGTAACAATCAGCGATAGAAATGTTCACCTTTAATCTGTGATGCCTACATTATGTAATAGAAAACCTCGTTGATTTTCTTTTCCTTCTGATCCTCCTTGACCGATTTTAGAGATGATCTAATTCCTTTATTATTCTCAGAAGAACCCATTTGCAAAAACTACAAATCTTATTAAAAAATACGACGTTATAAATTTTCGCTAAAAATGATATTTAGAAATTTTTCTTTGCTATAAGACCTTTTGTACTTATTTCTAAGATCTTAAAATCATTGAAGCAAAAAAAAAACGATTTTTTGAAAATTCTAGAGTGGCTTTACCCCTTAAGAGAGATACATATTTAATAAAGAATAATGTAAATTATAGGAAAGAAGAAGGAGCAGCAAGCAGCTGCTTCAAAACAGACTTTTGGTGAGAAATCCCAAGAACAGCAAGAGCAAGAGAAAGAGGAACCAAAAGAATTACATAGTAAGTACATCGCAACAGAAGACACCTAAAGGTTTAAAACATCGATAAATCAAGATGGCATTAAAATTTTTGTAGCTGAACTTTTTGAATAATTTTTCTTTTAACTCCAATTATTCTGGAGGTGAAAAAAAAGGATACGTGTCTCGTAATAAATTTGCGAATTTTTTTTAAAATTTGTTTGGGTGTTTTTATTTATTTTTATTTATTTATTACTCCGAAACTAAGGACTATTCAATCAAACGCCGGGACATGTATATTTTTTTTCACCTTCAGAATAACTAAAAAAATTGGGGTTGAAATTCCAGGGTGAGTCACCTGGTTCTTTTCTTGTCAGTATATAAATGTGATACGTATATTACAATAAAATTCTGATAAAAATTTGATTTGTACCTATTCTTTAAGAGATAATATATTTAATAAAGATTAATACAAATTATAGAAAAGAAGGAACGGGAGGTAGTTGCATCAACCTCAGAACAGTCTTCTGATAAGGAATCAGAGCAACAATGGGAGACAATGAAAAAGCGGAAGGAAATTATAAGACCAAAGCAGCAACAAGCAACTCCAGATATAAAACAGCAACAGAAAATAATCAAGAGTCAGAAACAAGAATTATTGGACCCGCGTCAAATGAGGTCACAGGACCAATCACAACAATTACAAGGAGCTTGGAGTCGCCCACTACAACAGCAGCAGCAGCAACAACAACAACAACAACAACAACCAACACAACAACCACAAAGCGTATGGGGCCGCCCACAACAACAACAGACACAAAGCACAAGAGGCCACCCACAACCACAGCAACCTCAAAGCGCATGGGGCCAGCAACAACAACAACCACAACCACCAAGCGCATGGGTCCGCCCACAACAACAGTCACAAGGAACTTGGGGTCGTCCACTACAACAGCAACAACAACAACAACGACCACAACAACGACCACAACAGCAACAACAACGACCACAACAACAACAACAACGACCACAACAACAGCAACAACAACAACAACGACCACAACAACCACAAAGCGCATGGGGTCATCAACAACAACAACAACCACAAAGCGCATTGGGCCGCTCACAACAAGTAGCACAGAGTCTACCACAACCACAAGTGGCTCCACAAAGAGGTTGGGCACAACAGCAACAACAACGAGAACCAACTCCTCAGCAACAAAAAGTTTTAAGTAAAAATTTTTTAGCAATATGGTCAGATAGAAACTTTTCTAGCAATTTAATCAGATAGAGTTACTAGATTTAGCAAATTTTTGAATATTTTATATAAAAAATATGTGTATAAAAGTTCATTGCTATATAATTTTTTAAAAAGTAAAATAGCTTTTTTATTGATGTTTTATATTTGTATTAATAACTTACACAGAAAAATTTTTTTTAATCTCATGTATAAAAATACTTGACAAAGTTATTGAAAAGCAAATACTTTATACAGATACATAAGATAGTTTACGTTCAATATTAGAGTAATATATCTAAATTAAATACAAAATATCTCTTATCAAATATTGATTTTTTTTTTATTTTAATAGTTTTTTATATAAGATGATAAGGAAAATTGAATTATAACAAAAACTTAATTTAAAAGAGGAGTTTTTTAAAACGAATAATGTCCAAAATAATGTCCAAAAACTGTTTCAAATTTAGCATTTTTTTGTAAAATTTTTACATAAATTTGTTCTTCAGATCTTTATTTTTTTTTAAGTAAGATACTATAGATATATGTATGTGTGTGTGCGTGCCCGCTCACAGACCCTGAAATATCTATAAAAAAAAAGTTTTATAGATAACTATTTCAAACAAAAGTTGTAGGTTTAAAAAAGTCCATCTACCGATCTTATCAGTTATATATATATATAGATGTACACATTTTTTGTAGCTGGTACTGGTGCTGCTGGTGATTATCGACAAGTACAGAGAACTGATAGTGTGCAGCCATCAACAAGTTCTGCAGGTTTTGATGTACGATTATATGTCATACACACACAATACATATATTATTTTTTAATACAATTACAAATGCACGCATGTGTTTAATAAAATATCTCTATTATAAATATCTCATAAATATATATTACATTCTGAATTCATTTAGTTAACAAATTTTTTTTCAGTTATCTGCACTTGCTTTATCAGATAAATTCCATAAAGAAAAGATGGAAAAGAGTAAAATGTCATCTGAACAAATACAAATGTATTATGACAAGATACCAAAGAGAAAGAATTTGATGAGTGCTGGGCAAATGGGGCGCAAGATTACTGTATTTACAAATATGTTCCAAATTATATTTAACGATAAGTTTGTAACTAATGCAGTTCATTATGATGTTTCTATTCGTCCTGTCAAAGAAAAACCCAGCAAAGCAGGGATAGAAATCAAACTTCCAGCAACATTATGTAGAAAAATTTTTGAAAAGTGTAGACTTAAACATTTTGGTAGGAGATTTCCAGCTTTTGATGGGAAAAAAAACGTATATAGTGCAAATGATCTTCCTTTCCCCGATAATGTAAGTAATACATGTATTAATTGTAATAATAATTGATTACATATGTAACAAATTTTATAATATAATAACAGAGAAAGTTTTTAATAATAGCTTAATTTTTTTATTATTCTATATAGATGCGAGATGTTTTCTCTCTGTCGGTCGGACCTGATGACAATATGAAAATAAAAGAATTTGAAATTACTCTGAAGAAAGTGGCTAATATCGATCTTGGTTGGATAAAAAATTTGAGACCTGGTTTTGGAAGTAGAGCTCAAACTGCTTTACAAGTCTTGGATGTAATCTTGCGTCATGGACCGGAAATGATGTATGATCATGTAAGTGATTAATCCTATAAATTAAAATACCAATATGAACCGACACTAGATGTTCATATACATATACATGTTTTATTCGCAAATTACATGTATATACGTTTGAACTCTTGGTTCAAGTTCTCTTCAGTATACAAAGTATTTCTAACCATATACATATAAAAAAAAAAAATTTATACAATACAATTAGTATGATTAATGTTGTTATATTCAACAATTGTAAATTCTTTTTCACCATTAATTATCATGTTTGCTATATGAAACAAAATTAGCCATTACATATTATTTATTTTTATTTTTATGGTTATGCAACACAAGTTTTAATTTTTGTTATTTACACGAGTAAATGATTAATTATATTTGACCCCTCTTAATGTCTCCATTATTAGGTGACAAATTCTAGTGATTACTTATGAAATTGTTTGTTTAGAAACCGCTGTTATGCAGCGGTGATAATATGCTAATAGTTGGCATTTATTATAACACATTTTACGTTTAAATATTATGAAACGTTTTTAAGATATAGTATTGAGTATTTAATTACACTTACTTCCTCATTTTTAAAATTTTGAGCGTATTATCATACAAGAGTATATGTATAATATATTTAAATGTGTGTTGTTTATCATTCAACATTTTATTTGGCATTTTATACAATTATAAAGTTAAAAAAATAACATTTTGCTAATGTGGCCTTGAAAATATAGAGTCATAAAGCATAAACTGTGTCACTTATATCTGAATATATAGTATATCAAATGTAATTAATAAGAATGAGAGAAGGAATATAAAGATTGCCAACTCTCTCTTTCTTTAAGATATGGTTGAATAAAAAGAAATATAATAATTTTGAATTTAGGATTAATTGACCAATACTTTGATGAAAGTGTAATCATTAAATTTTAGATTTAATATTGATTGTTAATCAAATTATTGTATAAAATGTAAGTGAAGGACTATAATACCATTTTCTCCTCCAATAATTTTATAATAAATAATTTGTTAGTACTAATAATAAGTTTTTTAATTATATATTAGGTGTATAAATAAGTTTCCGCCGTTTTTTCATAAAAAATTGGGCATTTATTGTGAAAAACGGTTCTTAATATTTTATTCAAAGTATTGTTAAACTTTTGAAACCACCCACGGCAACTTCTCTCACTTAAGCAGCCTCATCATATGCTTCTACAAGCAATCGATGCGCCTCAGCTGTAGATTTCTTCAAATTAAAGAAGCTCCCGCAAATGACGCTTATTCGGCTCAAAACTCGACATTTTCACACGAAAAAAAGATATATGATGCTGATACAAAATCGCTAATATTTCAAGGTTATGTTGTTGCCAGATGTCCAACCTTAGGGCTACGCAGAATAAAAGGAACAGAGAACAGAGAATAAGAATTTCAACCTATCAGAAATCAATGAAATCATATACTGTGGAATAAATAGTGTGTATTCCATAGTTAATAGTACATGATTTCTGATAGGTTGAAATTCTTATTTTCTGTTCCCTGTTCCTTTCATTCTGCGCAGCTCCTTTACGATATGACGTTTTACAGCAGACAATTTTAACGATTTTAACCATAACATACTGGTGGCGCCATCTTTTGTCAAACACGGCAGAAATTTTATTTATGCTCCTAATAAATAACATCGATTCTTTTTTTAAATAAATCATATTTATTTAATTTTATTTAAATAAAAAAAGGTTTTTTGATATTAATTTGAGAACATAAAATAACTTTTTCAAAATATGTATCTGTTTAGGAAATAAAAATGTTTGAACACCTAAAGATCCAGCTAGAGAGTTAAAGGCATTATTTCTTATTGATTGCATTTTCACATGTATTGTTTTATCAAAGTTAATATTTAATATGTATCTATTTATTGTATATTTCTTTTTATATAAAATACTATGATCTAATTAGAAGAAATTTATGTAAATGTAGTATAAATATGTATGTGTATATATGTATATATATTTATATTTATAATTATAATATATGTATATATATGTATAATCAGTATAATATGCATCTAATAAAATGTTATTATAGGTTGGAAGATCACTTTTCTGGGATATAGATATGAACAATCTCCTATCTCCTAGCGTAGCTTTAGGACACGGTGGATTTCTCTCTGGTTCACTTGGGTGGAAACCCTATGTAAATGTAGATGGTAAAATATTCATGTTGATTAATATAATTTTTTAACATTTTACTTATAAACAAAATTATAAACAATACTTTTATAAAGCTTAATAATTTTTGACCTGAAAACTACAACAAATATCTTTATCCACAATTTCTATATAACACTCCTTATATTTTATTTAGCTGCTCACAAAGGATTTACCACAAATATAAATGTACTTGAGTACATATGTGGTTATGTAAACGCCACAGAAAGAAATATTACATACCTACAAATAAAGAATAATCTAACCAAGATAATAAGTTTTTTGAGGGGTTTAAAAGTGACTTATGCAATACCTAACTTACCAACTTCGAAACGTTCGTATCGTGTACGCGATTTATGTCTCGATAGTTGTGACTCACATAAATTTGCAGTAGGCGATGTAACTTACACAATAACGAGATATTTTCGGGAAATAAAGAAATATAACATAAAGAGGACTGATTTGCCTACTCTTCATGTAGGCAATACTTCTAATGGAGATAAAGTTTTGGTGCCTCTTGAAGTACGTAAGCTGTTTTATAATGCTAGAAGTAAGTGATATAGTGTAAAATAAATTAAAAATTTCTTTAAACATTTACAGTTATGCAGTATAATAGGTGGCCAGGCCATTAATAAAAAGCTAAATGAAAGTGAAACCGCAGCCATGATTAAAAAAACAGCAATGCCTGCATATGAGCGTAAAAGAAAAATAGAAGAAGCGGTAAACAACATTTACATTGTTAGATTGAATATATTATTAATTATATCATATTTATTGTGTTATATGTCTGTAGTTCAACAAACTGAAAATGAACAGTAGTTCTGTCATGGAAAAAGAGTTCCATCTATCTGTGAGTTCACAAATGCAAATTGTTGATGCCAGAGTTTTGCCTCCTCCAGAATTAAAATATGCTTATGGATCAACTTCGCAAGTATCTAAAGGAATATGGCGTTGTCAAAAATTTAATGAACCCAAAAATTTGGAGAAAGAGAAGTGGACTATTATTGAATTAACTGGTCACCCAATTACGCATGAAATACAATATTTTTTGAAAACATTGCAGGAAATTGGTTGAGTATATGAAAAAATAAAATTATAGTTTTAAAATGTGTTGTGTATTACACACACGCGCGCGCGCGCGCACACACACACACACACACACACACACACACACACACACACACACACACTTTGAAAAGCATTATGTGTATATATATATAATGTTTTTCAAAGATTATATACATAAATATATACACACATGCAAAAAAAAATAGGGGAGCACTTTAAAACCTGCAAATTTTGTCAATTTTAAAAAATTAATATTTCGGCTTCCAGGAATCGCAGGATATTGTTCCTTAACGTGTTTAAAAGGATAAAGCTCTATTTTTAAATGGTTTAAGTGAAATTTTTTGTCCCATTAAACTGTTTTTTTTTTCTTCGTGAAAACTAAAAGCAGAGAGTGTTAAAGTTTCGAAAATGTCCTGATATTGTAGCCTTCCATGGCAAAGCAGCTACGAGGTGAAAAATGTCACCACATCAGTTTTGAAGCCGAGAACATTTCCTTCAAAATAAGATAATGAAAATTTTTCTAGCTTACCTAGGAGCCGAGTTATCAGATTCCAAAGTAGACCCTATTTTTTGCAAGATTTTGGTTAAATACCATCGTGTTATCCAATGTGCATCACGAAGAGGTTGCTCGGACAGAGTTTGCACATTATGGTGTACATGCGTGCGTGCTATCAGAAATAAGGACCCTACAATTCGTCACTCCCGTGATATTTAATGACTCCAAACCCTCTCTGCGGTATTTAACCAAAATCTTGCAAAAATAGGATCTACTTTAGAATTTGATAACTCAGCTTCTAGACAAGATAGAACGATTGTCATTATCTCATTTTAAAAGGAATATTCTTGGCTTCAAAACTGATGTGATGAAATTTTTTGCCTTGTCGTTGCTTTGCCCGTGAAAGGCTACAATATCATGACTTTTTCAAAACTCTAACACTTTCTGCTTTTGGTTTTCACGGGGGAAAAAAAAAAAAAAAAAAAAAAAAAAAAAAAAAAAAAAAAAAAAAAAAAAAAAAAAAAAAAAAAAAAAAAAAAAAAAAAAAAAAAAAAAAAAAAAAAAAAAAACAGTTTAATGGAACAAAAAATTTTACTTGAGTCATTTTAAAGTAGAGACTTTATCCTTCAAAATACGCTAAGAAACGTTCTGCAATTCCTGGAATCTGAGATTGATATTAGTTTCTCAAAATCGACAAAATTTGCAGGTTTTAAAGTGCTCCCCTAATTTTTTTGTGTAGTGTAAAGGTTTTTAAAAAGTATACATCTAATTATTGATAAAAAAAATTATGCATAATTAAAAATTGTGAATTTAGATATTAACAATAAAATTGAAATTTTGAATTATGTTATGTAGTTATATTCATATTATATATATATATTTTGTTATATTAAATTAATCTTTTTAGCATATCAAGTTGGTATGAAGATTGAACCGCCTATGCAACCATTTAAAAGTTTGTCAAAGTTTAACACAAACGAAATCACAACTTTCTTTAATAAATATTGTAATTTAAAATTGGTAATAGTTGTCATACCAGATAATACAGACCAAATATATGGTAGTTATGATTATTTATATAGTATATATAAAGTACCATATATTATTTTTCTTTCTTTTTATTTTATTATATATATTGTAGGTTCTTTTCATTATATTTTCTCATTCTAAATATAAATAAATCTAATGATACTTATCATTGTTTTAGGACTCATAAAAAAAATTACCGAAATTGACGTAGGTGTTTTGACGCAATGTGTTAAATTTAAAACTGTGAAAGCATCTAATCCTACGACAATAAGAAATCTTTTACAAAAAATAAACTCAAAACTAAATGGCATCAATCATGTATTGAATAGAATGTGAGTAAATATAATATTTGTGTTTTATTTTATAAAGTGCTTGTAGTTCCGAATAAAACAATTTTTTTCTCTTAGGCCGTCATGTTTAAGCCAATGTCATTTTATGCTTGTTGGTGCCGATGTAACTCATCCGGCCCCTGATTCTAAAAATATACCATCTATAGCGGCGGTTTGTATAATTATTAAACGCAACTTTTCTTTTATGTATGTAATAATAATAAATGTTATTAATTTAGGTTGCTACAAGTAGAAATGATTCAGCTTTCCAGTATAATGTTTCACTGAGACTTCAACCACCTAAAGAAGAAATGATTCTAGATCTTGAAGCAATAATATTATCACAACTTAACATCTATTATTTGGAAACAAAGTTTTTACCAAAGAGACTCATCTATTACCGGTATTGATTATGTTCAGTATTATATAAATTATTAAAAATAAATTTTTTTATGTACATAAAGAAAAATCTATTATATAGATATAAATAGTTATGAATATATTCAGTTAAGAATAAATAAGAAATTTATTAGGATGCACATTAATTCCATTAATATCAATATCTAGAGACGGAGTTAGCGAGGGACAACTTCCGCAAGTTATGTTTTATGAAATAAATGCCATTAGAAATGCAATTAAGATGTTTAATAAAGGTAATATTGAAATTACCTGCTTGATTGTTCAGAAGAGACATCATGTGCGACTTTTTCCCACAAATCCACAAGAATCAGATGACAGAAATCGTAACGTAAGAGCGGGTACAATTGTCGATACAACTATTACTCATCCAGATCACATTGATTTTTATCTTGTATCGCATGCAAGTATTCAGGTAAAGTCATTGATTTGTTTTTTAGTACGCATATATATAATAATTACAAATGTCTTATTGTTTATAAATAAGTTATCAACATACAACATTTTTATTATAATAATAATTAAGAATACTTAAAAATATTAAGAATATATA